TATTAAAATACACCACGAAGCACCCAGCTGGCGACGCCCCAGCCAGGCAGCGGGAATTAAACTTGCACCTCTGCCCCCTCCCCCCCAAAAGCTGGGGAGGCCACACGGGGGGCGCGGGGGCATTGCCTGTGTCCCCCAGCCCCATATGAAGGTCCCCTCCCAGTGAAATGAGACATGGACCCAGGGCGGCAGCGGTTCTCCATGTCAGAGCTTTATTTGCAGGGCAGGGGGCATGAGGCAGAAGGGGGGATGCTGCGGGGCCAGGCAGGGGACGCGGTACCCAAGCCCCGGCAGGGGTCACCGAGCTATAGCTGACCACGGAGCGACTGCAGCAGCGTCTCCAGCTGCTCGTCCAGGGACAGCTCGTCCCCGTCGTTGGTGATCACCCAGTCGAAGGCCACTCCCTGGTCCAGGCCGCACTCAGACTCAGCGTCGTCCACCCCTGGGGAGGAGCAGAGCCCGGGTGAGGTCCCCGAGGTGGGTCAGGATCCGTCTGTCCCCCCCCGCAGCCCCACCCCCCCCGGAGCTGGGGGGCTTTATCTAAAACCTCTGGCTCCTGCAGCCAGGGGACGGAAGCGGCGGAGCTGTGCCCCCGTGTGCTCGGGGAAGCAGCGCTTGCTCGCTCGCTCACTCACCAGTGACGAAGACCCAGTTCCTCCTCTTCCTTGTCTCCTCGGTGGCCACCACCCGCACGGTCTGCACCGCGTCCCCGTAGACGTCCCGGAACCACTCCACGTCCGAGAGGCGCCGCGCGTCACTCACCACCTGCGCAGGGACTCCATCAGCGGCCCACCCTGCACCCCCCACGCTCCCCGTGTCCCCTCCACCGCTCACCCACACCGGCTGCACCGCCCCCTCCACCACCGTCCTGCAGAAGAAGCCGGGGTCGGCACGGCGCTTCTCCTCGCCCCAGCGGATCATGTCCTGCCGGTACATCTCCTTGTAGGCGCTGGCATCCAGGAGCCGCTGGAAGTCCAGGCCATGCTCCTGCGGGGAGAGGGGGGTCAGCCGGCCTGTGCCATGGGGTGTGGCGCGGCAAGGTGTGGCTTGGCACAGCACGACAGTGCAGCATGGCACAGTTCAGCACAGCGCAGCACGGCACGGCATGATGTGGCGCAGCACGGCACGGCACGGTATGGCACAGCACGGTGCAGCGTGGCATGGCACGGCACGGTGCGGCATGGCACAGCTCGGCATGGCACAGTGTGGCGCGGCACGGCACAGCACAGCACAGCATGGCACGGCACGGCGCAGCATGGCACAGCTCGGCACGGTGTGGCGCAGCGTGGCACGGTGTGATGTGGCGTGGCACAGCACAGCACGGCACGGCGCAGCACGGCACGGCGCAGCATGGCACAGCTCGGCACGGTGTGGCGCAGCGTGGCACGGCGTGATGTGGCGTGGCACAGCACGGCATGGGACGGCACAACGTGTCCCGGCAGGGCTCGGCGCAGCACGGCACGGCACGGCACGGCACGGCCCGGCCGGGGGTACCTTGGCGTACTGCTCCTTGAGGGGCCCGGAGAGGCGCAGGACGGTGCACACGTCGGGGCCCAGCCTGCGGGAGAGGGGTCAGCGGGACGGGCACCGGCACCGGGCCCGGCCGGCTCCACCCGCGCGGGTCCCGGCCTCCCCGCGCCCCCG